AACCTTAAGCATCTTCATCTCCCACAGAAATGCAGAAAGCAGCTGACATGCAGAAGAGTCCCCAGAGCACGCTCCTAGATGCTGAGCTGTCCACGGGTGAGCAAGGTGCAGGCATGAGGTTTTCTTCAGTCAGTCCTGGGAAAAGAAGGGAATTTTCTGTTTGCAAAATGATTCTTCAGATGAGGTTGCTTGTGAAACTGGGCCAGCATCTGGGATAACACTTGTGAGCTCCTGTCCTTGTTTCTATTTACTCTCAAATCAGCGATTTACATCATTAAAGAGCTATGACCCAGTGTGTCCTCAGCCAAGGTAAGCACATCCGTGGGATGTTGAATGTCACTATGGGAAGCATCTCTGAGGCAAAGAAATGCACACGTGAAAGGGGCACCAAGTCAGCACAGGGCAGCACAGTTAGCAGCACTGTAAGTGAAGAACAGTGATCCCAAATGTTGACCCTGTAAAATGCTTACATTTTTTTGAGTGATTTCATGTTTCCAAAACTGGCACCTTTTAGAAATACTAAAAACTGAAATGGAAATCCTGTAAACTTGTTCTTTAAATTGGTGTTATCTGATGGACATTCATGGCTATATGTGAAATCATCACTTTGTTAGAGAGATCATGACACACTCCATTCAGATCAGGGGAGTCCCTCATCTCTTCAGGCAGTGTCAGACAGCCTGCTCCCTGTCCCCCACAGCCCACCACAACAGGCAGCTGCCTGTTCCACTTAGCTTTCAACCATGTTTAGCAACAATATAAATCTATTCAAAGGCCAGCTGGGGCATCTATGATTGCAGTGCTTGGTGCCTTACAAGGTCTCTGTCCAGGAAGACCAGATACAAAGAGTTATGCATTTCATTCACTGAGATGAAAACAAGAAACAAAATGTCACCTATCTCCCTCTGGACCAGTAGTGTGAACAAGTTTTATTTTAAGGGAAGAACATTTCCAAAGCAGACTTAAAAACTTTAGAGGTCATTGGTTATAACCAGCTGATAAATCCTTACATTGTGCAGCTATAAGAGCAAAATGTCTCTTAAGGTTATGTATTTTGCCTCTTTCTTTTGCCTAATTTATAATTGCAATATGGTTCAGGAAGATAAGTAATGAGCAACAGAAAGAATTATTTTTATTCATTGTTAACCCTTTGCTTTTGTGTAATTTCTCTTACATGCCAACAGTTAAAACATCTATTTCTAATCCAATACTGTCCTTATTTCAAAAAAGACCTTAGTTATTAACTACCTTAAAGACCTTATAAATTAATTACCCTCAGACCAGCATATTATTTCTAGGCAAGATTTTATATTCCTTTCACTTGAGAGGAGGAACGTGATGGTGGTAATGAATCTATCCATACATCTGTTCTCATACAAACCAGCAGAATTTTCAGAATCTTTATTTCTCATTTTTATGACTTCTGCTGGCTTAACAGTGGTCCAGTGCTCATCTCTTAAACACATTTTCAATTTTCTGTATTTTCAGCAAGGATGTCATACATTCAGCTTATCTTTTTACTTTTTGTGTGAAAAATCTCAGATAAACAAACTACCTCTGTGGTTTAACTATTGTTTCACAGTCTTTCAGGATGAATTTCACTTTTCTGCTAAGAACATATATTCTGTGCCTCAGTATCTTAACTTGGTATCCTGTAGGTGTTTTACATTGTCCTACAAGGAGGAGGGGCAGATAAACTCTGGAGAATCAGTGGAAAGAGTTGACAAAGGAGCAGGTATTCCTCTGTAGGAAGGAAAAGTATTCAGTTCCTTGACTTCTGCACCATAGTTTTGTGAAGTTTCACACATGCTAATTTCTATTAGACAGATGCTGTGCCAATGCCATGGTGGGCTCTGTGTGCTATAGAAATGTACCTCCCTCTGATACACAGACCAGCGGTTCA